AATGCCTTCTGAGTTAAGGGCACAGTACTAGACACTGATGTTCAAAGAAGCGTTTATAATAGGGTTGACACGAGCAAAATAATAATGGTACAAGGTTGTACATGATGAGTATTGTTTGGCTGGTTTTGATAACATGTGCCAGTAGAACACGTAGGAAGAAGTGTCACTGAGTCACTGAAGGCATCTGTGGTGGCCATAAAATGTGCCACTTAGATCTTCTGCTGCACAGAGTGGCAGATTGATGGCTCCAATTGCTGCCCCTCTAGATCATCCACTATCGTGTCCGTGCTGAGGCCATACTTCCTACAGGCTCCTTCTAGCTGATGACTAAGCACTGTGCAGGTACTAAGGCAAGCCTGTTACTCTGACACACAGGATAACTCCAACTGGCAGTTTTGGTTGAAAGACTCTCCGTGAACCTAACCAAATCTCTCTTGGAACTGTGCTGCAGTCCGAGGTGCTTCCTATCCAATCCCCCTTTCTTCCCATTTTCCTGCACTGGGGTCATACTTTCATCACAGTTTGAAGGCTCTTCCTCCTTTCTCTGGCTTACCCTCCAACCTTTATCTTTTGTAGGTGTTTCCCCTGATAAATCTTTTGTATGTCTCATCTCATTTGCTATCTCCTTCCATGAGAACATAAACTAACACAGCATCAAAGAAAGACTACACTTAAAGAAAGAGTTGTCATTAGATAAACCTAGAAGATTCAGAAACAAAAACAACACCAACCAGGAAGACAGTGTTAGGAGAAGTGAGGAGGTAGCCTTTCTCCTAGTAGCTCTCAGTCTGACCTCAACAGAGGCTAACGTAGATCGAGTTTGCCTTGGAAGCAAAGGCACACAGGTAGCACTTGATAAATGTGAATCATTATCATAATCATTGAAAAAGATATTAGTAACAAGAATATCATCAATCACGACAGTAATAATGTTATCATTGCCAACTGTATTTAGTTTAACGTACACAGTATATGTAATAATATGCAATTGATAATAATAATTAATGGTCTCATCTACTGTTTCTTAGTAAGTTTAGTACAATACTAAGCACAAAGTCATACTTTTCATTCTCTATTTTCCTCCTATCTCTCTAATTCTAATGCATGCATTTCTCTTTTTCTCTTGAATTTGAATTAGATGGTCTGGTAAGTGAATTACATACCTAAATTCTATGTTTCCCAGTATTTTACTTTGGCTTTTCTTTTCTTCTTCAACCAGAATCCCTTCTTGGTGGACTTCATTCCTCCTAAGGCTTTACCAACCCCTGATACTCTAAGGAGTCCTAAACACTTATCTCTTCCCTGGATTCCAGATGAAGGTCTCCAACATGCTCAGATCTCACAGCCTTAACATCTAAAATGAAATCCATGTATCCCACCCCAAACCTCCTGCTCTTCAGCATCACCATCTCCATTAATCCATTCACCCTCCTCTTGGACATTCAAGCTAAAACTCTCATACTTTACATATTACGCTGACACCTCCTTTTCCCTCATTTGCCTCTCTCCATCAATTGCTTTTATTTACATTATTTTTTAATTGACAAGTAAAAATTGTATATGTTTATGGTATACAACATGATGTTTTGAAATATGTATATATTGTGGAATGGCTAAATCAAGCTTATTACCATATGCATTACCTCATATACTTACCACACTTGAAATCCAGTCTCTTAGCATTTTTATATATACAGGACAGTGTTATTAACTATAGTCACCACGTTGTACAAGAGAGCTCTAATTTATTCCTCCTGCTTAACTGAATCTCCATGTGTTGCTAAATCCTTTTGATTTTATATCTCAACTCTATTTCAAAAATGTCCATTTTTATCACTATTCACATTTAAAAATCGAGTCCGTCATCCCCTTTTCCCTACCTGACAGCATGGTTGGAACTCCTCTCTGTACTTCCATTTCCTCTGCTCTTCAAACTATCTACTATCAGATTGATCTATCGAAAAGAAATGTGTGCAATTCAAATTTCCTATTTACAATTTTCAGTGTGTCCTCACAGCCTATGGCTTAACAGGAATTGTCATAACAGATCGTTTAGAATTCAGTGCAAACCCAACTTTTTCAGCTGCTGCAACTCTGACATAACTTCCAGACATGCCATGTTCTAATCACAGCTAAACATTTTCATTCCCCGACATACCAGGCATGGCCATACATCCAGGTTTTCATACTTGGTTGTGAGAAAAGTGGAGTTGGTTTGGTCAGGCCCTCTTGCCTCATATCCAGCTGGGTAAGATTCTGCACATCCATTGTAAGCAAGAATGTAAGAGTGGAGTTAGTGCACATATGTGCCCGTGTACTCCTTGGCTCATTGCTGCTATTGTGTACTTTCAGTATGGAAGGCAGTGGCTCTGAACCGCTTGTCAGCGGAGCTTGCATCTGAAGAATAAAGCATGTCCACTTTGCAGGTGGCTGCTCAGTTTTTCTTTCGCTTACCTGACTCAGGACCTGTACAGGACGGGGCAGATGGGTTTGTGATCCAGCCCGACAATTGGTGCTGTCATCAGGATTCCGAGCAGGTAAGGGAGCCACTAGCCCCTCGCGAGGGGGAGGAAATGTGGCTGCCCTCGAGTATGTGGTACCCAGTGGCTGCTTTCCTATTGACCAGGGTGTGGCTGTCGCTCACTGTACTACGAGTCAACATGGACCAAGCACTCCATGAAGCTGCATGGCTTCAAGATTTGCAGCAGAAAGCAGACTTATTGGAAGTGCGGGTACTTGTTCTGGAGGCTAAAGTTCAGCAATGGGTCACTTCTGCTTCCAACACTGGGGATGATAACGAACCCGATGGTGAGTTGGGGGAAGCTGTGCATCCCCTGGCAGGACCTGTTGTCCATCAAACTGAAGCATGAACAGCCCATGGGGCCAGGCAGACAACTGGTAGGCAACCCACAAGTGACCCAATTCACTACACTCAAGTGACTTGTTGGACTTAGGGAAACAGTTCAGGCAGAAACAGGGTGAACCCCTAGCTGCTTGGCTTTTGCGACTGTGGGACCTAGGGGTGGATGGAGTAATGTGCTCTGGTGAGGAGATGGAAAAGTTGGCTTCCATCACCGTGCACCCGTCCCTGTGGCAGCGGCTACAGAACAGCTGCAGACACACTCCAGGACAAGATAACGACTCCTTGACGGAATGGGTGAATGCGGCTGTCCGGACCACGTAGATGAGTGCCAGAAAACTGCCCCAAACTGTGAGTAGGTGGCAAATGTATGCTAAGCTGGTTCAAATAATTCAGGAGCTGGGAATGCAGCAGGCTATGTTTAATGTGAACACCCATGGCCTGGACGATGAACGTTTTACTGGCAGCATGAGAGATGTAGTGCTGCAAAATGCTCTGTCAACACCCTTCGGGTCACTGGTGGCTATACTAGCCCCATATGTTGGTTGCCCCATACATGAAGTGACCACCATGATGGCCAGTCTGGGTGAGGCAGAGGGAAGGAGACAGACAAAAGGGGTCCGAAAGGTGGCTAAGACTAAATCCCCAAGAAATGCTTGGGATTTTACCCTGAAGGGACTGAGCAAGACCAGCTATATGCAGATATTGTTTGACTTGCCTATGGCAGAAATTGATAGTGAGAAAATCGAGGGACAAACAAATGCAGTCTTGTTTGCCTTTTGGCCACAATTGCGCCCTGAACAGCATTTCACTAAATGTCTGGAAACAGGTGGCAAGTTACGCCCAGTGTATTTGAAGGATTTTATGGCTACTTCTCTAGAGGCGGATGGACTGTTTTCTTTTGGCTAGGGATAAGGCCGAGGTGCTCGTCTTTTGAGGGCAGACAAGAACCGGAGGCCTCATGTTGAACTGGTAACACATCGGTCTGAGACAAATGTACAGCATGCGTTAGTGTTGATGGACACCAGTGCAGACTGTAGCCTGATACATAGCAACCCAGATAAGTTTCTGGGGGCCACAGTGAATGTTGATGGTTATGGAGGACAGACTATTACAGTCAAAGCTGTGTCGCTGAGCATTGAACGATTGCCCCCTCACGTATCTATATACTGTGTATGTATCTCCTGTATCCGAATACATCTTGGGTGTAGATGTGCTTTATGGGTT